TCTCTTCCGATGTTCCATCGAAAATAATATTTTATATTATGAAATTGATATTTGTAACTTTCTAATAATCCGAATTACATAGATGCTTTATTTCTTCTAATATATTTAACAATTCACTTCGTTTTTTTGTCCTCGAGAAGGGTTTCTATCTTCAACAGAAGTTCACCTTCTTTCATATGGGTGATATCTGTCGCTGTAGACGCTATAAGGGAATAGTATTTCTTCAGACAATAAATTAAGAATCTAGGAAAGGTAAATATAATTCTACATCGATGACTTCTTGAGATCAAAAAGTTTTCTTCGTATCGTAGCCTATTAAGAGAATTGACCCAGGGTGAATCAGTATGCTGGATTTTGTTTTGCGTTGTCATATTGAAAGCAGCAAAACTAGTAACGATATGGTACGTTACGATATTAAATCCAAAAATACAAGTTTGGGGTTGTTGGGGATCTGAACAATGGGGTTGAGAATGCTTTCATAAATATAATGTATTTATTGTTTGTTAACCAGAGATACCCGAGCATATGACCGCAGTAAATAATAATAGAGACAATACAGTAGTTGAACATTTGATAACCAACTGTGATGTGTTCTGAAAAAAAAAAAGACTTGCGCTGTCGCTTCTTTTCATTGTCAAATGCAAGAAATAGAAGTTCTTCGGGCAGCGGTTTTTCATATGCTGATAGTTCTTCCAGCCAGGTCTGAAATCTATTGTAGCTTTCCGCACTCGTAATATGATTATCGATATTGATAATCTTCCTCGATCGTGTAATTGAATATTTAATAGCTGAGGCAGCAAGATGCACTTCGGATACATACTTTCCCCACCATAGATGAATTACTGATGTACAGCCAGTAACTATTGAATTTGTCTTTAATCGCACTCGCTACCCGATTTTGCGAATGACTGGTATCTGCGAATCAACAGCGGCATGCAGTCTTGAAAGCTTCTCATGGTTCATGGTCCTTCACATACCGTTTTTTATATACAAAGTAATTGTGTGAGTTGAAACATCTGGCCGCCGTGAAACGGATCTTCAATGTCCCCATCTCATACGTCTTTCCGTTCATTTCATAATAAAATTCGCTTGCGAGCAAATGATCTCTGAAATGAATATGCCCGTATCTAAATTGAATAGGTATCGACGTCACAATAATCTTCCGGTTTGTTCAAGCTCTATCGCCGGATCAGAATGACTAATGCGAATGTCATCATCCAAATCGAGTCGAGATCTTTTATTTTCTTGACTAGATCCTTAAGATGCTGATTAGTAGCGATAATTTGGTTATAATGCTTCTCACAAATAGTATAAGAGTCTAGCGAGGTATGATGGACGACAAGTTCAGGGAAGTAGTTATGGTATTGCTGAGTATTTGTATGCCGCCATAAACTTGTAATTCCTTTGTCTCCAGGGTCTTAACTATATTTTCCCTTTGAAAAGGCAGGAGGAGAGTGTGTTTTGTCTTGTGAAATTGACCCTCTTGGCCGCGTTGAATGTCGAGACCAGGTAAAAAGTTGACGAATTGAATATCAATTGAATAGCTGTCGAGACCTCAAAAGACACACGGAAGTTCTCTTGCTCGTGGCTTCTGATAGACTGACACTGTCAGTAAGGTTATTCGTAATTAGCAAGCTTGTTTCGTCTCAGTCAACCAAGTACGACACAGATTCGTAGTTTTCGCTTCTCGTTTACTTTCTCGAAACGAGTTGATTATTTTTGATTAATAGAAAATATGAAAAGTAGACGTGGTTTTTAGTCGCGGACAAATAACTGTGAAAAAGACACGTGTGTGAGCCAATCAGATTTCAAGAATCGCATGCCGATTATTCTAGAATTCGCTTCCCCTTCCTGATTATATTATGCAATGCAAAACATACAGCATCTACGGACAATTTTTAAATTTATACATACAAAGTTATATGGAAAAGCAAGTTCCTATGTTGAAGTTAAAGTTAATTCTCACTATTTAACTTTAATATCTTTCCCGCATCCAACACCTCCGCAATTCCCGATCCTAATAATACTATTTTCTCATTTGAACCATCTGCAGATTCAAAAATTTTTAGCACACTGGACGTGTATAAATTCTCGTTTGGGAGAACGCGGAAGTTCTTTCTGTGACTGTCTAATATCAATAATGGCGTACTGTTTTGCAATTCCAACAATAGGGCCGTATACATTATCAGCCTCAAAGCGTCTACAATGTTCTTCGACATCATCTCCATCTCGCAAGAGTTCGATCGCCCAGTCTCTTGCATCATCAACATAAAAATCAATGAATCCACTCGAACCAAAGACAGCACCGACATCAACTGATACAAAGATACTTTCAGGAAGGACTTGTGTTGCTGTACGATAGAATTCCATTTGCCATACCCGTTCTAATAAACGGTCATCTGCTCCAATTCCTAAAGATGCTTGCAACGTTTTAGAGCAAATACTAGTGTCAGAAATTCTCGGAAGTTTTTAGGCGCCATAACAGATCGTTGCACAGATCCAACACGATTAGGCAGGGTGCTACAAAATCGGGCACTTTATGTGTTGTTGACTCATCGAAGCTGACATCAGAGAGAATATAGGTCTTTATCAGGCGGCTTTTGTTTGGAATCACTTCAGAACGAATATTGATTCCAGATGGGCTAAAGAGGACACGATCTGTGAGCCTTTTTATGATGTGAGTTTTAAGAGCTACAGTAATCCACCCAGAAAATTGATGTCATTTTGCATCAATGCCATCCAATTCTTAAGGTATCCTACTCCATGGCCCGTTTTGAAATTTAAAATCGACGAACTAAAATTATTATATAAAATATTGCTTTCAAATAAATTGTCTATTTCAGCATGTATTTTCGTTAATGAGCTCTAAGTGAAGCATGACAACAAATTCGCGTTCATGCGTTGCTGATTTACTTTGGTATTTGGTACGGAACAATGTTTTGTATTATTATTGAAACATCATCAAGACGTTTCTAATATTTTCGTCTGGAGCGTTAAATGGGAATTCATACGTTTGCTAAAATGGAAGCAAATTAAATCTAGATATTAATATTAATATAAATTCCCAATTCGACGATCATCTCTCTTCTGTCACAAAATGTCTCGGAGAAACAACAGTTTGAGCAAGATAAATAAAATTCTAAACTTGTTTGAACAGAGGTAATGTAGTGTTGTATTATACAATTCACTTTACAATATCTCACTAGAGGTTTTACCGTGAAAAAAAAAAGCATAAAAAACTGGACTACAATAAATCAAAATGGCGCAAGCATTTTACAAAAGATGGAGACAGGTGAGTCAAGATATATTACACAGATCCACTCAGCAATTATTTTGACAGTCACCATTTGTTTCAAGGAGGGAACCTGCCCTCTGATTTAAATGATATTATAGCCAAATGTAAGTTATCTGGCCGTTACATTGACAGGCCGCCTGCATATCATCTTACAGTGTTATTTTAATCATCAATAAATAGTTCACAATGAGCTACGGACAATGTACAAATACTATGATGAGATATTGGATGCCATCCAGCAACTTCCACCCGAGATCATACAAGTGAGTGAAGCGTTAAGCTTTCTGCTCTCGCATTGTATATTAACTACTTACAATAAGCAGGACTCTTCGGTAAATGCTGTAGATCAGGTGGCCCATTTGTGTTTAATGTATGATAAAGAATACACATTAAAGGTTGGTCAATTTTACAAGTGTTTATCTTCATGTTGAATCCCAGCCTCTAGTATAAATTCTAATATTTCTATTTATAGGAAACCATTTCAAACTGCATACAATATCGCAAGACAACAGAACAAGAAAACACCATCTTTGTGGCAGTCTGGAATATACAACCATTCGTTGACGAAGATAAGCTAAAATTTAACTAAAGCTCACAAGCAAAATTGACCTTGTCCACGAGCAGCCAGAATCCCTTCTCGCAAAACGTGAGAGACATCCTTTCGGTTTCGAATTTGTGATTACAATATACTGAACATCCGTTTCATAAATCAGTGATTAAATATTGTGCCCAAACGAGAAAACGAGAAGCTATCACAATTTTGTAATAAATAAGCATATCCAGAAATTAGTTATCTTTTTACCAT